GGCATGTCGCAGGATAGGTTGGCGGACGGTTGCTGCCTGCTGATGACGGTAAAACGCTTCGAAAGAAAGCAGCCCCGGCAGCAAAACACATAGCTATTTGAGACGAGCAAGGGTCGAACGGTCGAAGTTATGTTACTGCGGCTGCAGAACAGACAGATAACTGGTGGCGGCGGCTGCTGCTGCTGATGCCGGTAAAACAGCTTCGAAAAAAGCAGCTCCCGGCAGCAAAACACCATGGCTCGGAAGGACGAGCAAGGTCCAAAACCACGCGAAAAAACTCCCTAACGTGTCGTCTGGAAATCTAGAAAAAATCTAGAAAAACAGCATTTGTCGAGAGATTCTGTTGCCTGCGGCTGCTGCTGCTGATGCCGGTAAAACAGCTTCGAAAAAAGCAGCCCCCGGCAGCAAAACACCATGGCTCTGAAGGACGAGCAAGGTCGAAAGATTCTGTTACCTGCTGCTGCTCGCAGAACTGGTGGCGGCGGCTGCTGCTGCTGATGCCGGTAAAACAGCTTCGAAAAAAGCAGCTCCCGGCAGCAAAACACCATGGCTCGGAAGGACGAGCAAGATCCAAAACCACGCGAAAAAAAACTCCCTAACGTGTCGTCTGGAAATCTAGAAAAACAGCATTTGTCGACAGATTCTGTTGCCTGCGGCTGCTCGCAGAACTGGTGGCGGCGGCTGCTGCTGCTGATGCCGGTAAAACAGCTTCGAAAAAAGCAGCTCCCGGCAGCAAAACACCATGGCTCGGAAGGACGAGCAAGGTCCAAAACCACGCGAAAAAACTCCCTAATGTGTCGTCTGGAAATCTAGAAAAACAGCATTTGTCGACAGATTCTGTTGCCTGCGGCTGCTCGCAGAACTGGTGGCGGCGGCTGCTGCTGCTGATGTCGTTTGAAATCCTGGAAAAACAGCTTTTTTCGAGAGAGTCTGTCGCCTGCAGCTGCTCGCAGGTGGCGGCTGCTGCTGCTGATGCCGGTACAATAGCTTCGAAAAAAGCAGCTCCCGGCAGCAAAACACCATGGCTCCGAAGGACGAGCAAGTTCCAGAACCACGCCAAAAAACCTCCCAAACGTGTCGTCTGAAATGCTAGAAAAAATGTGCTAGAAAAACAGCAAAAAAACAGCATAGAAACAGCATAGAAAAACAGCATTTGTCGATTGTCGAGAGATTCTGTCGCCTACGGCTGCTCGCACGACTGGTGGCGGCGGCTGCTGCTGCTGATGCCAGTAAACCAGCTTCGAAAAAAGCAGCTCCCGGCAGCAAAACACCATGGCTCTGAAGGACGAGCAAGGTCCAGAACCACGCCAAAAAACTCCCTAACGTGTCGTCTGGAAATCTAGAAAAACAGCATTTGTCGACAGATTCTGTTGCCTGCGGCTGCTCGCAGAACTGGTGGCGGCGGCTGCTGCTGCTGATGCCGGTAAAACAGCTTCGAAAAAAGCAGCTCCCGGCAGCAAAACACCATGGCTCTGAAGGACGAGCAAGGTCCAGAACCACGCCAAAAAACTCCCTAACGTGTCGTCTGAAATCCTAGAAAAACAGCACAATGTCGAGAGATTGTCAAGAGATTCTGTTGCCTGCGGCTGCTCGCAGGACTGGTGGCGACGGTTGCTGCTGCTGATGCCGGTAAAACAGCTTCGAAAAAAGCAGCCCCCGGCAGCAAAACCCCATAGCTCTGAAGGACGAGCAAGGTCGAAAGATTCTGTTACCTGCGGCTGCTCGCAGAACTGGTGGCGGCGGCTGCTGCTGCTGATGCCGGTAAAACAGCTTCGAAAAAAGCAGCTCCCGGCAGCAAAACACCATGGCTCGGAAGGACGAACAAGGTCCAAAACCACGCGAAAAAACTCCCTAACGTGTCGTCTGGAAATCTAGAAAAATCTAGAAAAACAGCATTTGTCGAGAGATTCTGTTGCCTGCGGCTGCTGCTGCTGATGCCGGTAAAACAGCTTCGAAAAATGCAGCCCCCGGCAGCAAAACACCATGGCTCTGAAGGACGAGCAAGGTCGAAAGATTCTGTTGCCTGCGGCTGCTCGCAGAACTGGTGGCGGCGGCTGCTGCTGCTGATGCCGGTAAAACAGCTTCGAAAAAAGCAGCTCCCGGCAGCAAAACACCATGGCTCGGAAGGACGAGCAAGGTCCAAAACCACGCGAAAAAACTCCCTAACGTGGCGTCTGGAAATCTAGAAAAACAGCATTTGTCGACAGATTCTGTTGCCTGCGGCTGCTCGCAGAACTGGTGGCGGCGGCTGCTGCTGCTGATGCCGGTAAAACAGCTTCGAAAAAAGCAGCTCCCGGCAGCAAAACACCATGGCTCTGAAGGACGAGCAAGGTCCAGAACCACGCCAAAAAACTCCCTAACGTGTCGTCTGGAATCCTAGAAAAACAGCACATTGTCGAGAGATTGTCAAGAGATTCTGTTGCCTGCGGCTGCTCGCAGGACTGGTGGCGACGGTTGCTGCTGCTGATGCCGGTAAAACAGCTTCGAAAAAATCAGCCCCCGGCAGCAAAACACCATAGCTCTGAAGGACGAGCAAGGTCGAAAGATTCTGTTACCTGCGGCTGCTCGCAGAAGTGGTGGCGGCGGCTGCTGCTGCTGATGCCGGTAAAACAGCTTCGAAAAAAGCAGCTCCCGGCAGCAAAACACCATGGCTCGGAAGGACGAGCAAGGTCCAAAACCACGCGAAAAAACTCCCTAACGTGTCATCTGGAAATCTAGAAAAATCTAGAAAAATCTAGAAAAACAGCATTTGTCGAGAGATTCTGTTGCCTGCGGCTGCTGCTGCTGATGCCGGTAAAACAGCTTCGAAAAAAGCAGCCCCCGGCAGCAAAACACCATGGCTCTGAAGGACGAGCAAGGTCGAAAGATTCTGTTGCCTGCGTTGCCTGCGGCTGCTCGCAGAACTGGTGGCGGCGGCTGCTGCTGCTGATGCCGGTAAAACAGCTTCGAAAAAAGCAGCTCCCGGCAGCAAAACACCATGGCTCGGAAGGACGAGCAAGGTCCAAAACCACGCGAAAAAACTCCCTAATGTGTCGTCTGGAAATCTAGAAAAACAGCATTTGTCGACAGATTCTGTTGCCTGCGGCTGCTCGCAGAACTGGTGGCGGCGGCTACTGCTGCTGATGCCGGTAAAACAGCTTCGAAAAAAGCAGCTCCCGGCAGCAAAACACCATGGCTCGGAAGGACGAGCAAGGTCCAAAACCACGCGAAAAAACTCCCTAACGAGTCGTCTGGAAATCTAGAAAAACAGCATTTGTCGACAGATTCTGTTGCCTGCGGCTGCTCGCAGAACTGGTGGCGGCGGCTGCTGCTGCTGATGCCGGTAAAACAGCTTCGAAAAAAGCAGCTCCCGGCAGCAAAACACCATCGCTCTGAAGGACGAGCAAGGTCCAGAACCACGCCAAAAAACTCCCTAACGTGTCATCTGAAATCCTAGTCGCGGCACCACTTTTCTAGCTTTATTTCCCGGCGGCCCTCTAGAAAGGAGGATGGAACGCAGACATGCAACACATGCCACGCTGCGAAGGTGCAGCATGCAGTCCGCAAGCGCGCAGCTGCTTCCAGTGCAGCTCGCCTCGAACCTCTCCGGAAAAGATTGCGCCACAGGCAAATTATCCAGGAGACATGGGAAGCAATTGCTCGGAAACGTAGTCGCACCACGATTCCTGTTGAAAAATGCGTTGAAAATACAGCAGGGCCCACTATCTCGCAGAGAAAGCCGGTCTATGAATATATATGTCCTCATTGTGAGACACAGGTCCGTAGTACTGTCACTGATGGACAAGTTGATGCGAAACAACAGCATTGTGGTGTCCGCTTCCGTGTTCGCGGTGGCACAGTGATTCAGAGCTTTTTCACACATCAGTGTCCAGCATGTTTAACAGAAGTGCAAAGCACGAAACGCTTTGGCCGCATACGGGTAGCGCACAAAAAACGAAACGGGAAAAGATGTGGAACAAAATGTTGGCAAGTAGTATGCTCCGGTACCAAAGACACGACTTGATCTAAGAAAATTGCAGCCTAACCCTGAAGCTTATGGACTATCGAGAGCACAGCAGAGGTGGCACATGGTTGTTGTTGTCGCTCCCCCTTGCATCGGCCGGGGTCAGCGAATTATTATTATTCTTTCCTGGCAGCTGTGTCATAAACTCTTTTTCCCTTACGCACTCCCCCTTGCGTCTGCCGGGGTCGGCCGATACCACTGTTTGTACAATGAGACATAGAACCTCGAGGATGCGGCCTCGAACGAACAAATCAGAGCGGGAAGGGCAACCCAAGGAGCCCCACGTACCTCGAGGAGACTCCGGGAAGGACCCCCCCACCGGTAAAACAAAAACCCCGGAGTCAATGAATCGACGTACGTGACCGGTGGGAGGGGGACCCAACAGGGTCCCCCGGCAAAGGGTCATTGTTGTTGTTGTTGTTGTTCTTCTTGTTGTTGTTGTTGTTGTCGTTGTTGTTGTTGTTGTGGTTGTTGTGCTGCTGCTGCTGCTGCTGTTTCTATCTACTGTAGCTGCAGTAGTATAGTAGTAGTCGCAATGTCTTATTCCCTGGCGCGCTCCCCCTTGCGTCTGCCGGGGTCGGCGGATATACAAACATAATATGCACACACACAGAAAAATCAACATCCGGATATGTATCATGAGTATCCCGCGATACCCTGCATTTAGAAACGAACAGGGCACATTTGCCAACACATATGGTGGCTCCTTGGCACCAAACAACTTCAGGAACCTTCGCCTTGATGAGATGCATGTTGGAGCCCTCAAGACACATTCACACCCAAACCGGGTCTAGTCTAGGCTCTGTAGAGTTATTGTTTTGCATATCAAATTATTTTCGAACTCTTGAAAGGTCTCGTGTAATGCCGGAATTAATTTCTACGTTAAATTTAGATTTTAGAGAGCCTCGCAACTTCCGTCAATACCACCAGCATAACAAGCAGCAACGCCATCTGTGAAAGTGGAAAGGTTTCATCCACCTGACTCATCCGGGCTAAGGCTCCTGCAGCTGCTGGCAATGTAGATGATGACGACGACTCCTATGTCCAGGCCGCCACGTATATCTGTTGGAATTGTATGAGATACAGTGGCAGAACACACACTGATTTTGCAGGTAATCCAATAGCATTGGCGGAACAATTTGTTGCAATGCTTTGCTTGTGGTATTGTTTGCTCAACTCCTGCTTCGAGAATGCAGGTCCAGACTGGTGATGGCAAGTATGTCAGAGTACACACCGAGAAATTCCAAGACATGATGCAGTCCGTCCTTTGTTTGCAAGCATTGGCTGCTGCCTGTATACATATTCAAAATGAGTTGGTTTGCATTCTAATTTCAATCCCTTCTTGCAGCAACCTGTGATGCTGAGTCTGTAGTCCACCAAGGTGCAGTTGCTGCATACCTTTGTGACAGAGATGGAAGGAGGCATCCTTTGTTTGGGGATGTTGGGGGCATTGTTTGGTTGCAAGCATCAGGTACAGACAAATCTATACAATCTGATTCTTTTGCAACTTGAATCATGGATACCAAACTTGGTCAGGCTACTTCGAGGCCATCCCTGAGACAGCAAAGGCCAGAATGGAAATGGCTGACAATGCACGGCAATTCAGGGAAATGGACTGCAGACTGCACATTGCAGCTGATTTTCGCTGTGCCACATGTGATTCGATGCCCAGACTGCCTTGACCTTTGGGCGCGAGGTCCTCTTGCCTCTGCTGACAGCCAGAGAAGAGTATACGATGCTTTGCGATGAGGCAGAGATATTCAATTCGGTTGTGTCATAGGAATTTCAGGTCTCGACCTCCTTCAACAGCGACATGCTGGTGCATCTTCATCTTTGTGAAACAATTTTCCGTGTAGGTTCGTGGCACAGCTTTGCAAGTTTGGAGCTTGCTAATCAAATCTGCAAGGCTTGGTGCACAGGTGGGGGTAGATTTGCTTGAGGTTTGGGCATTAGATCCACTGTTACCGATGCATTTTGGACCATGTTCTTGCGAGGAGCGTGGCCAGCCGAATGCCAGAACCTCAAGGTTGACTCAATGTTAATCAGTGTAATCTTTGAAATGTTCTTAAGGTCTTGCATGGTCTTACTATCCTTGAAACGCCGTGCCAGTGTCCAAAGCTCTTCCAAAGCTCTTTTTGAGGCAATGGCCAAAGAGCTGCTGGGAACCGGTTTGCAGGTCGCCTGCTGCAACCAGTTGAATAGAACGGGGAAAAAGTCGGATGCAAAAAAACAAAAACATGTTCGCCAGAGGACTGTTCTGGCTGCAAGTCCATTCTTGATTGCCAGGCGGTTTTCGGTCAGCTGGAACAGAACCAGGAGATTTGCAGAGCCTATGAGAAGCGCATGGAGTGCCAGAGACCTGCATACTTTTGTATATTTCGTAACATTTCGTAACACACCAGTCAAAGTTAGGGGATGGAACATGATGGAACTGGTTTTCACTGGGACCCATCGTGACCCTTTCTCTCCTCGGTGGGTACCAGCTCTGCCCGAGGAGACAGATTTCTTGCACGAAATCTCTTCAGGCATTGCAGAGTGCATTAAGAATGCCTGCTCCTCAAGCAGGTTCACAGAACCATCCTCTGCTTTTGGTGCATTTCTGATGACTTGCAGTCTAACTCTGTCTACTGATTCAGCTCAAAGAATTGAACCAGGCTTCTTGGTGCACCAGATGCCATATTCAATTTGTGGCTTTTAGGATCATCCCAACAGAGTTGAAGCACCTCGCAGGTTAAGCTCTGGTTTGGTCATAAATCAGTGGCTTCCTTTCTGCGTCCAGCCTCAGGTCGGACCGGGTGTCCTCTCTAACGAAGAGGTTCGAACTCTGACCTCCAGGACAGTTTGCAGTTTTCCCCTTATCTGAAGCATGCGAGCCCTCTATGTCGAAATCATCTGAGTATCAAGCTGCAGCTGCTAAACCTGCTGCTTTCCAGGGTATTCGCCTTGATGGACCAATCGCTGGCAAGAAGCACTGTCCTTAGAAGCTTATGATGGAGTGTCTTCTTCTAAAATATGCTTCTGTGGAGCTTCCCACGCACAATTTTCATGGCACTTTAGGTGCTAAGCACGCCAACGAAGAAGCCAAGAACAAACAGGAGGCGTCAGACCGAGTCATAGCCCTGCTTTGGAAGATCTGAGTCACAGTGAGCTTCCAACTTTCGAAAAAGGTGCTTCGAGACGCCTCATCTTTGGTGCTTGAGACCTCCCCATTTCTATGCATTTCTAAAAACCTTGAAACCTCCCTTGGGGTTTGGGCGAACATTGACACATCTTGAAACATCGATTTGATTCCTGACTTTGGAGGCTAGCCACCTTCCTCAGGACCGGACAGTCTCTGGGGATTCTACGCCTGTTGCAGTTGTTGCAGTTTGGGCCGCTGTGGCAAGGCTCCCGCCGCCAGGAGCTCCATGGTGGAGATGAAGATGATGACGAACAGGGCCCAGCTGCTGATGAGGAGATGGTGAACCACCGTCACTTGCATGACCTCATGAAGTCATGAAGCTGCGGAAGTAGCGAACATATCACAAGAGTATCAGGTGAACAAAGCCCAGGATTTTCTCCACACAGGGAGTTGTTGAGACACAGGATCAGCTGCGAAGAAATTACGAAGAGATCCTGGGTGCCATGATGAAGGCAAAGCAAGCCTTGTTGGTCACTGCTGCCAGCGGCTGCGATCTCTTTTGCGTTTACGTGATTTACTTATATACGGTATTTTGCTGTCATATTTTTGTAGATGACAAATCCTTATTGACTGCTGATAGCATAGATTTGCACACAAATCCAAACAGCCTTGCCATTTGTATCCATTTGTTCATTTCTTGTGTTCGTGTATGGACGCAGATAGCGGAAAGCATATGCATCCAGATCCAGCATCATCCAGTACCAGACGTATGATCAAGATTCCGATGCTTGTGAAACATCTTCCCCATCCTTCCGCCATGGGAGGTCTCTCCTGCAGAGTTCCTGCCATGTTTGCCACAATGCGCCGAGCGCATTCAGCATTGGGTGGTCTCCCTAGCTCAACCTTGTTTCAACGGTTTGGCGACTGGTAGCAGCTGGTAGCATTTAGAATCTAGAACTATTCTGTGGTTTTGGAAAATCGTGACAGACTTTGCTGGAGATTCCACTGGAGATGCATGTGTCTTCATCAAGATCGAAGCTGAACTCATGCCCTTCACGTGCGTCATGTTCGTCCTTCACGTGCGTCATGTTCTCTCTGTGAAGGTGGCGACCAAGGAGAACAAGGTCGGAATGACACTGGGAAGCTAAGACTTGGCTGCTAAGACTGGTCTACAGAGCCAATACCTTGTCATCGATCTTTGAACCAACTCCGAACATGTGGTGCTGGCAAATATTGGGACCAAGGGACTCCGACCATATTTGTTTCACAAGTTTTCGCTGTAGGTCCTTGGCCTCTACTTGGTGTGCGACCTTCTTGATCACTTGCCAGGATCCCCAGACTTGCAAGTTTCCCAAAGTGTTTTCTGCTGTCGAGTCTTGAGCGCTTTAGCTTGGGCTGACGGACCAAGGAAGGAACACTCCGAGAGTGCCTGGCCCATTTTCATGCCAAAGATCTTCGAGTCGATTTTCGACGCAGATGCAGACGCAAGGAGAGAATCGTCGGACATTGTTTCAGAGAATCTGAAACCGAAGGGGGCAGAGACCTAGATCTGTGTGTAGGGACAAACCTGACCAGACCAAGAGGATCTTCAGCTTATTGCTCAAATTGGAGTGATGCTTCTCATTTCGGTTGCTGACTGTGCTGTGTCCGAAGTGCTGCAAGCTCAAAGGCAGTGGTGATGTTGTGGCATGTTGTGACCAATGATCTCTTGAGAAATTCTCGTCCAAATGCAGCTTGCCAACATGCAATGGCACAGTTCAGCTTCCCTCATAGTAGGGAATATCAAGACTGTTACTCGTACCGAGACAGAGCTTTGCCAAGCCCATGGCTACACATCAGCATGGTTGATCAGCCACCGCTTCGTTGCCTAATAGCTTCTTTGATCGGCTAAAGATTATTGATCACAATTGAATGCAACTGACGTCATGAAGACCTATGACAGCCCGTTGGTGCACTCCCCTTCCCTGCTGCAACTGTCGTTGCTTGGAGAAGCAAGATGTCAGAGACGGTCGAAATCATTTGCTTTGAATGAGGATTGCCCGCATTATACATTTTTGCAAAGTGTGTGGGGTACTTTCCGGAATTTCCTCTGCTTCAGTCACAATGTTCAGGATTAAACACCAGCTCGTATGAAGAAGTCAAACGAGTGCTCAATTTTCTGAAGCAAATCAACTCCGGTGATGACTGTTCCAAGTTTGCCACCATGTTTCAATCCATGTTCTATTTGTGCGAAGTTCTTGTATCTAAGCTTTGCCTGACTTTCCTGTTGTGGCCAAACCTGTGTATGATCTCACAGTCCATTTTTTCCAAGGAAACAAGTCCCTTGGCACCTAAGGGAGAGGCTGCAGGAGAGAACAGGGTGACGTTTAGATCTGAGACCTGGTCAGAGAATAGCTATCTCTTGATGCTGCGTCCGCAAGCTCAGACTTCTGTAAAGACAGTGAAAACACTGATGGGGAGAGGCAGAGGTTGGAGGTTTCTCCGCATATGTCTGTTTTCTTGGTGTGTCTGTTGCCAGCAGCCACAGGAGACGCGAATTTGGAACGGAGGTTTGGTCCATGACTTTCAGGAGGCTAGGCAACTGTGGCAACTGGTTATAATTGTGTTGTTCGGACCGAAGATGGCTTGGTCCTAAGAAGTTGGTCTGTTGGCTTTTTACCTTGGGGACTTGGAGGCGCCTTTGCTGCGGCTGCTTTTGCTGAGTCCCGTAGCAGGCCTTGTGGCGGAGAAGCAATGTGTGCAGTGAGAGCATGCAAACATTTGAGGGAAGCTGACAAGTCTGACAAGTAGGTTTGCGCTTTCAGTTCTTTGGCAATGACTTGAAGTCTTCACGAGTGACAGTCACGAATTACGGAATGTTTTGACGGCCTAAGGTG